TATGAGAGGCCGGCACTGGCAAGTCTGCAGGGCTCTCTTGGTTTAATTTGGTTTGGTTTTTGACTCTTCTCTGACGGGAGCGTTGCTGATTCGGGAAGTACCGTGAGAAGAAATCAGGCTTTCTCGTTACAGGGGATGATGAGGAGACCTCTGGGTGCTTTTCTGGATTTGGCTCACCCCTGGCCTCTGCGGGGTGGGGGACTGAAAAGTTTTCAAATCGAAGTGTTTAAAACGGGCTTTTAACTCTGTTGTCACTTTACTTGATGATGGTGGCCCACTGTATCGTAAAGTTCTGTAGTCTTCAGAAATGGCCTCATGGCCATTATGACAGTTTAGTCAACGTGGGTTTTTTTGAATTGACTGAAATTTGGAGTGTGGGCCTTGGACCACGGTCTGGAGCGGATACTCTGGAGGGACCATGAACCAAAATTTGTAGCACTTTAGGAGGAAATTATACTTCTAATCTTTCCTGGGATGGAATGTAACAAGTTTGTGATAATTACCCCAGGTTACTGTAGTTTCGAGGAGAAAAAGTATAGAAACGTGCATTGATTGATAACATCACCTCACAGAAACAAGTGATGTTACTAATGATGTTTCTGAATTTTGAGTTGATGTAAAAACCTGTTTCTTCCCTAAAGACCTGTAGAGTTACGTGTGTTTGCAAAAGGAAGTTCAAGATTTTCTTGTATTACGCATGCCTCCTCTGAAAGGCTGGTGGGCTAAAAGCCTTGTGGGGATCTCAAGAACTACTGGATTCGGTGTCACACGTGCCCCTTGGTCTCTTGCTGTGGGTGCTGTGTTTTGTTGTTCAGCATTTCCCTCATAACTAATGAAAATGACAATGGTTTACTGCCAGCAAGTTTGATTTCGTGGTTGACCGTATCTGGTTTGAGTGGGGGAGAACAGAACAAGACTGTTTTAAACTACCACTGGCTTGGCCCATCACCACACACTCTTCTTATATTTGCATCTGCTTGTTTTCCCCATCCTCTTTCAGTCGGTATTCCTTAGTCGTACTAGAATCACGACTAAATGGAGTGTAGAAGTCAGTTTAATAGCTAGCAAATGTGTAGGACATTTTCACTGTAATAGTTCCCATGTTCCTGATGTGTTACTGTTACCTTGCAGAAGCCATTGTGATTTCTCCTCATATTCTGTCAAACCCAGTTAGAGTTCCAAAATCAAATAGTACGTGAATGTAAAGTGTGTATGGATGAGTGCCTGGGAGTTCGTAATAATTCCATCCTCATGACTATGTATACAAATCCATGGAAAACAGGACATAATCCTGTCCAAGTGTTTTGATAATTGTGCATATAAAGCATTTAGAACCATAGAACAAGAGTATACTGGTGTCTTGAAGCTAAGATTATGAGTATATAGCACCATTAAAATGTACGTAGTTGGAGAAAAATCAGCCATACTTGTGTTTCTTTGATTGATGCTAAGATAAAGTTTATGTGGATAATTACCTAAATAATGACTAGTTTTAGTGCCACTCTTATTTTTCCAGCAGAAGAGGATTTATTAGGTGATGGAAAGTCTGTTAACAGGAAATGAGTCCAGTTTGGCTTTGCAAAATACAGCATCATCCAAGTCCAGACTTAGAAGCATGATTTGTTAAATCATTCTGTATCATCATAGTATAAGGGAGGGTAAGTTTGGCAGTTTATGAGCTTCCTTCTTTATGTTTAATTATTAATTTTGTTCTTCAAACAAAACTGTAATTACTTGGGAACCTGCACAAGAAAGCTCCAGAATAATCATGTTGAAACATTTTGGGTGTACTTTTAGTTTCTTCTGTCTTCATAACAAAAGACAGGTACAGTACAGATACAAGCAGGATGTGAACACTGTGGGGCATCTTTGCAACGCTTTACTTTCTTTTTGCCAGTGATGAAACTGACATAGAAGTGACCTCTGAGGTCGGAGGTCTGCGTTCCAGAAATGTTGCTGGGATTAACGCAGGCTGCTGTTGGGAACCTACTTCTTCACACGATGGTAGTGCATGTACACTGAACACCCGTGTGGGTCTGGGATGCTGTCCAGACTAATTGACCTGTTGCAGTAGATTTCCCTAATGAGTGATTGGATATTCACTTTCATCAGCTCCTGATCAATAGCAACTGTACGTAACCCTTCACAGTACTGGAACCCTTTGACGTTTGTGCAAAACCACTGCTATTTGGTTTTATCCATTACCTTTTTGTTTAATCCAAGGAAAGAAGATTCGTAAATTCTGCTGACCTAAAAACAAGTTTCTGTGGGGGCAGAGCCTCAGCGGTGGTCTGAAGCTGAAGTTGCACAGTTCTTTACCCCAAGTTAAATGCAGCAGGTCTGACTGCTCTCCTTCCTAGTGATGCTGTCTGGCAACTGGGCTTCAGTTAGGGAAGCTAGGGAAGTCAGGCTGTATCATCTGTAGTGTGGGAACATGATGCTGGTTGACAGTGTCTCACCCTCCCTCAGGGCTAGGTATCTCAGTCTGCTTTATACTGATGGAAATGCAGAGCATGACTGAGGCCTGGGTGGAGACTGGCATCATTTTATGATTAGTCCTTCAAGTCTTGTTGTAACTGACATTACAGTACTGCCTTAGTATCATTCCACATAGGTGAATAAAATGGACATCTAGGACTCTTTTCTGTAGGCTATTTATGAAAACATTCAGCCAGTCTTATGCTAACACTGGAAACAGCGTTCTTGCTTTAGTAGTGGCACTGCTTAATGAAGATTTGCTCCTCAATTCCAAAGGCAATGTTGCTTATAATTATTTAAAACTTTGTAGTTTTACTAAAAACTTTCTAGGGAGTAGGGCGCTGTGCCAGCTTATTTATTTTTGTGAGATCTTGAAGCTTAGATGCCAATACTGTCTTACTCATTCCCCTTCAGCTGATGTTTTGGTAGGGCTTGTCCACCAGACTCAAATTTACTGAAGGGTGAAGGGATCAAAAAAGGGCTTATAAAGGAGTGAACCAGGGCTGTATTATACATATATGTATATATAAGGGGGAATAAGATGCATGTAACTCTGGGCTGTATTCGTTCTGCTGTTCACAAACCAACCTGGGGACTTTTTCCTTGTTTTGAAGGAACAAAATTTAGTTTGCTAGTCTGGCAGCAAATGAAGGACTTGCCAGAATGCAGACTATTTGTTTTGGCATTTTTATCTTTTGTGTGAGCAGGCCAACAGGCTGCAGTTTTTCATGCCAAACCCACATCCATTCTGGGTACCTATTTACTCTGGATGTAAAAATTTCTAAGTATGGCTGAGGCTATTTACTGTCATCCAGATTTGCATTTTTCTAAAAGGTAATTCTGTATTATGTAAGATCTCAGACAGTTAGATTACCACCTGGCTGAGTAAAACAAATGCAGGATGTGCCAAGGACCATGACCAGTGGGAGCGTGTGCTATGCCAGTCACCTTCAACTTTTCAGTGACGGCAAGCATACCGCTCCAGCACTGCAGCTGACTCTTAGGGGTGTCAAGCCTGATGTGTACAGATGAAGAATCCTTTCTGTCCAAAACTAAACAATAAATCCAAAGCCCATTCATTACAGAATATTTTAGACAACTTTATTTTTACACGATGAAAGAAACAAAATCTGATTCTTTCCTAATATATGAAATTTGATAATGTAGGCTATAATTTTTCCAAAGGGTAATACTTTGTATTTGTTCTGTTGAAACAACTTCTGTAACATGGCAAGTTATCCGTATACCAGAGTCCTCTGGAGCAAAAAGGTGTCTTTGACAGGACAGTAAGGCTGGTGTAGCAGTCTTATGTCACCCATTTGATTTTTCTCATGGTTGTTGCTTAGAAACATAGCAGTTAAGTAGCCTTAAGCTTAGAGTCTGCAGCAATGTTCTGTTCTTCCTTAGCAGTTAAGATGGCTAAACTGTCTCTCTTAAAACAAAGCTATGTAGTATTAGTACTGAGAGATTCAGTGAAGACAGTAGGCTCTTTTTTTACTGGACGTGCTAAAACATGCTTGTTCCTTGCAACATAGTCTTGCTCACTTTTAAGTTGTTTAACCTTGTGCCATTACATTGTGTGTTCATGATTAGCTCTGATTAGTAGAACCAGAGGTAAGTCATGCCTGAACAGAAACAGAAACAGTTTGGTGTAATGTAAAAGAGACTTGATTTTCCTGGTGTAAATTCTTATGTCTCACCATGCAGACTACCTTTTGCTTTTGGTTTTTGCCTTTCAGTCCTAAAATCCCTAGGAAAGGTCTCATTACAACACAAGTTTGGAGGAAGTGCTGTTGTTAGTGTTATTATGAATAGATGGCTTCAAGACTCCAGTACAGCACCCTTCAACAACACTAAATTTGTGCAAGCGTTCCCAAAAAAACTATGAAACCATCAACATCTTTCATAAATTAGTTTGCTGTTGCAGGAAGGACTCAGGGTAATGTACTTGTTTTTAATATGACCAAGTAAAATTGTCTCAGTTGCAGCTTTTTATTCACTGTAGAAAGCATTCTATTAATATTCTGATTAGGTACAGATTAATTTTTTTATGGAATAATTTTGAGTAAGTAGAGTATGTCAAGCACTGCAGCAAGATTACTGAGGTTCAAAGCACATCACTCTGCATTTTGTTAGTATCATCTAATTCTTACTGGCATCTGTGGGGTTGAAACGGCATAATGCATTTATGTCAGTGTTTGTGTCAGGGAATTTAAACGAGACACTTCAGCGAGAAAACATAGGGGTTTTTTTAAAATGGAACTACACATTTTTGAGCTATGCAATGTTTCTGGCCTGCTGCATAGTAAACCGTTTTTCTGATTAATGTGTTGACACTGCAAACATAAAAAACCTGGGAAAATGCTTTGATTTTAGTATTTTAGAACTGCGATTGAAGTATAACATTCATCTTAACATTAAATTTCTACCTTAACATCGAATTTCATGAGCTACAACTTGGCCCAAAACAATTAAATGTTTTATTTTTGCCTCAACAGGACGATGGTGCTTTGTTTTCTGAGCAGAGTGCTTCAACTAGCAAGACATTCATCCAGTCCACTGGGGAGACAGCTGTGTTCAGCCAGTGCAAATAAGCCAGTGTTGACTTTATTCACCAAGGTAAAAGTTGTTTACAGGATAAATCTAGGCAAGACTGTGAATTTATCAGCTTTGATATACATGAATCCCAGATGAAACGGCTTGGCCATGCTTTTTCTTCTGTTCAGATTTATGTAGTATTGGACTTTTTACTTTGGAGGTGACTTTCACACAAGGCTTTACAGCACAGTCCTGTTCTCATTGTAGCAAGCAAATAGTTAAAACCAACAAATGAGCATTTCAAAACAATTGTGTCCCAGTGACACTATGGTCCATTAACTAGTTGAAGATTGTTCTCTAACTGCCAACGTTTCATCCTGGAAATAGAAAACAAAGATGAGTTGTTACACCTAATCTGGCCAGGACAAGAATCAACAGCCAAAGTGGGCTCTTAAAAGCACTCTTGTTTAATTTCAGCCTTACCTGTGAGACTGAAGATATATGTCCAAATAGTGTTGGTAGCACACGAGGAAAAAGTAAACCGTGATTTACCTTCTTTTGCATTACTGGCTGTGTAATGCTAACAGGAAAAACATGCAGGCAGAAGTTTGTAGCATGAGCAGATAGGTTTCTTAAGCAGGCTTAGTAAACAGATACAAGGAGCAGGAGCGGTCATTTGTGAACTTTCCCCTTCAATGAATTTTCATCAAGAGCTTGTGTTATCTGCAGATGTCTTCTTCACTTTTATATGGGATGACACATGGTGGCCTATGCTGCATTTATATGGTTGATGTAGCCCTCAAGAGGAGAATAACTTGAAATGCAGAGCACTTGAGAACGTTGACATCAGTATGGCTGTTTTTATTGGAGATGGATGTAATTAAAATAATTTCCTCCTCCTGCACAACATTTGTTCTTTCCATCCCTAGCCAAAAAGGAGTGTTTAAACTGTGTGACATGTGAATAAGTTAAAAAATAAAAGGTCACCATTTGTTTATTAATCAGAGTAATGTTGGCTATAAGAACTATACTTTTAAAATTACAGTTTTCCTTCTCCCTGCCTGATTCAGCATCTACTCATTTATAATCCAAGTGTGGTAAGGCAGGGAGTAATAAGCTTACCTTTGGGTTAATAATGGGGGGAAAAACTCTTGTCTGATTTTTGTGTCTTCAAATTTCTAACTAGTTAGACAGTGTATGAAATCAAATTTTTTATTAGCAGAGTTCAGGTTGTTCTCCAAAGTGTGGCCTCCTGTTGAATGTGTCTTTAACTAAAAATGTTTTTCATGTCTGATACTGCGGGCAATTGCAACGTAAAATGCAGATTACTGTAACTCTGATCTACACTCCTAGTTTATGCTGATTAACTTCTTTTCCCATCCTTCTTGTTTTTAAGCATAAGGAGAGAAGAGGGGAAAGCACAAGGGAGCTGTGACTTCTGCAGCCATTTCAAACTGCTAGAAACTAACACTGCCAAATGGTTTTTCCACTCAGAGGCTCCTTTTAAGCCAAAACAAACATTCGTGCAAAAACCGCTCCACATGAAAGAAAAAAAGTTTTTGTTGTTGCAAGGTTACTATTAACTCAGATCAGTTCTCCTGTCTAGCCCTCCTGTACAGCTATTTGAATACTTATTTCAGCCAGCACAAAAGAAGGCAGTCACAGAAAGATGTCTGCTTCCTTCAGCATCCATGCCAGTTTAAAATGACCACGAACTGCAGTCTTCAGTATGCAGCATAAATGGCAATTACTTGCAGAAATAAAACTCTCTTCCACAATGTGTATTAACTAGCATATCTAGCTCTAAGTACAGCATATGTGACTTTGGGAAAACATTTTACTACCTCAGCAGTAGGAGTCCCTTTTTGCCATTGTAATAGGTTGTCTGAGAAGGCTTTATCCAGGCAGCCCTCTTACAAATTAACAAAAAGCAAGTGATGGCAGAGACCTACTGATGCCCTGTTCTGCTGAAAAATACATCCTAACACAAATGGACTGTTTAAATATGTTTCACTGTTAGTTGAAATAGTTCAGTATCTGATTTTAAACCAGTTCCAATCTTACTGGTACCATATTGTGCCTAAGCTTGCCATCAGAGCAGGAGTGAAAACTTGTTCTTTGCTAAGAGTCAGTTTAGTTTGTCAAATGCTTTTGTGTGACTGTAATCTTAGAAAAGCTCTTCAGAGGCCCAGGGCAAATGAGTATGTCTAACTGTAAGGAGCCTGGCGTGTTACGACACTGACGTGCAGGGCTTTGGGATGTTCCTTTTGGTCAACCAATATCAGGTATGTTAGTCCATGCATAAGTAACAATAACACAGCACTATTGATATTTAGCATCTTGTGTAGGTTTTCAGAGCATAAGGACTTGTCTGTGAGGGAAAGACAGTTTAGGTGAGATGTGAATTAGAAGTCTTTAAATTTAAAAAGTCTTTAATTCAAATTACACAGAATCACAGAATAACAGAATGTTAGGGGTTGGAGGGGACCTCAAAAGATCATCTAGTCCAACCGCCTTGCCAGTGTGCAGGATCACCTACAGTAGGTAATTAGTTCACTGGCAGGATAGAGGAAGTACCTGTTTCAGATTAACTCAGTGTTTGAACAAGTCTTAGGAAGACTTCAAGTGGGAGGGACAGGAGAAGGTCCTTTCCGGCTGTGAGAGGTATTTCGTGACAGAGGGACAGAGCTATCACTTCCACCACAGTATACTTTGCTGTGTGAATTATGGGCCAAATTCTGCCATTATACTGAACCAACATGCGTTCACGTGAGTCACTTCTTCAGGTACACACTGCTCTAATGGTCATGGTGCATGATCAGCAGAAGCCAGATCTATATGTAGTGGAAGACCAAGGATTTTTAAAAAATGAGAGGTTTTCGTCAACTCTGTCACAGGTCAAAACACAGCAGCTGTTTACCAGTTCTCCCTGCTGGAGGTTTACTGCCCTCCAAGCTCTGCAGGATGCAGGATCGTGCTTAGTTCTTCTAGGCAAAGTCAGCCAGGTTATCTGAAATCTTCTTTTGCTATTTGAACTGGCCCAAGAGACTTGATCTGAAACAGATTGAAATTATTCATGTGACTTCCTCATTCCTCTCCTATCAGAGGAAGTTATTCTATCAAGAGTGGTACCCACAGTGATTTTCAGCAGGTGATAGCAATGCTTTGAAAATTCACTGCTGCTGACCAAAAGTATGAGTCTGTGCATGACCTTGCAAACCAGGCCCTTGATTCAGCCTTTAGAAAAGCTGCTGAAAACTGTTAATTTGCGCCATGAGAAAAGTAATAGCAAATGAGAAATAATTAAATTCTATGGCTGAAAAAATAATTTTCTTCTCATCCATGCTGCACTGATAAACATTGAGAAAGCAGTAAGACAAGGTGTTACGGGGAGGGGGGAACCCACATTTACAAGAATAATCACTGGTGCCTGTGTATGTTACTTTACGGTGCAAATGATCTGTGTGTTTTACTGTGTGCTTCAAGCTGGTGTGAATATTTTCCTTTAGAAACCATGTCCTCTATGTGATGAAGCAAAAGAAGTGCTTGAGCCGTATAAGAGAAGGGTAATGTATTGCAATATTGCATATATTTTCTATATAGAAAGAGCAGGATTCTTTGTTCGTAAAAGAAAATTGCTTGGGTTTATTTGCACCTATTGTTCCTTCATGGGTGACCTCTTCAGGACAATTTCAACACTGATTTCCATAAAACTCATTATCAAAAAGCATTTTGCAACAATGTTCCTCAACCAAGTACTGGTGAACTGAACTAGTATACACGTTGTCACATAGTTTTTAAAACCACTGCTTTTGTAAATACTGTTACCTTGTGTGACAGAGGAGATCGCAATTTTTATGAGGCAGATAATGATATCACTTGGGTTAGGATGTTAGTAGTTGGGGCTTCAGATATTTGCACTAGATGTGATTGAAGTTTTCACCATTCTTCAGCTGGGTTTTGATCTACTGGAAGGAAGAAACTGTTGACAGAGGCATTAAGAGATGTTGCGCTCTGCTGCCTAATGGGCAGCTGTTGTGTTGCAGCTGCATATTTGGTGTGGTTGATGTTTACAGGAACTGCACAGAGGACTAGGGAGGGAGTCCTTTGCGGACATACAACCAAAGATTGTGGCTTACATACATTTTGTACCCACAAAATGGCCAATTGTCTACAACATGGAATAATAAATTGAAAAGCACCAAGAAAACAGCCTTGCATTTCTGAAAAAAAGCTTGATCAAAAGACAAGCAGGTATAGTTTTTCAGTGTCCAGTAGGTACTAACTTATTTCTTTTCTGTCACAGTTTATTTTGCAGGAGGTGGATATTTCCCTTCCGGAGAACTCGGAGTGGTATGATAAATACAAATATGACATACCTGTTTTTCATTTAAATGGGAAGTTTCTAATGAAGCATCAAGTAGACATGCAAAAGTTTGAGGACCAGCTTGTGAAGCTGGAGTTGCAAAATGATGGAAACCAGTGAAGAAAATGCAGCTGCTACGCTGTAGATCTGAAAGGACTATGCAAGCAACACAAATTGTGTGAAAAAGTAGTATTCGTTATCTGGCCCTATGTTTCTTAGAATATGTGGTACCAGTGTCCTAAAAACCTCAAGTGACTTGTATTGTATTTTATATTAATCATCCTGCACAGCTGCACCAGTAGCATTTTCTGTACCATTCACTTGCTGCTATCCTGGGCTGGCTTTTCATTGGCAGAATAAACGCTGCTCCGTAACAGCAGATAAGGAGAAATGTCTTTGTATTGGATTGCGTGGCAAGGTGTTGGTAGCAGGGTGTCTACAGAGGTGGCTTCTCTGAGAAGCTGCTAGAAGCTTCCCCTGTGTCTGGTAGAGCAAATGCCAGATGACTGAGACAGACCCACCGCTGGCCAAGGCCGAGCCTGTCAGTGATGGTGGTAATGCCCCTGTGATAACATATTTAAGAAGTGGGGGAAAAGAAAACCTGCTGCGGAGTTTCAGGCAGAGAGATGAAAATAGATGAAAGAACCCTGCAGACACCAAGGCTACTGAAGAAGGAGGGGGAGGAGGTGCTCCAGGCACCAGAGCAGATTCCCCTTCAGCCCCTGGTGAAGACTGTGATGAGGCAGGCTGTGTCCCTGCAGCCCGTGGAGGCTGACAGTGGTGCAGATGTCTACCTGCAGCCCATGGAGGACCCCATGCTGAAAGAGGGGGATGCAACTGAAGGAGGCTGTGACCCCATGCAGGGCCTGTGACTGTGTGGGGGACCTGTGCTGGAGCAATCTGTTCCTGAAGGACTGCACGCTGTTGGAAGAGAACCATGCCAGAGCAGTTCGTGAAGGACTGCAGCCTGTAGGAAGAACCCATGTGTGAGAATTTTGTCAAGGACTATCTCTTGTGGGAGGGACCTCATGCTGGAGCAGGGGAAGAGTGTGAGGAGTCCTCCCCAGAGGAGAGAGTGGCAGAAACTGTGGCATCCAGTCAGGGTCAGCCCACCACAGTGTTTCAAGACTGTTAGTACGTGAAAGCCCTAAGTTTGTAAGAGACTTCTTCCTAGAAGAAGTCTTGAAGTCTCTCGTAAGTGCTCATTTGAAAAGGAGAAGAGGGCTTTTACTGTAAATTGAAAGGACACTTAATTAGAAACAGCAGACTCACTGAAGCAGAGTCATATCTATAGATAAAATATCACAATTTGATACAGCTGTTACTAACACACGAACACTGAATAGTTTTTCTTCTAATGGGATGAATATATGCTGCACTTAAATATCTACTACAACAAGCTTTAAGCTTCTTAGTACTTGAGTTACTCCCAGTCACAAGAAAAAGTAAAAATCAAGTGAACTATAATTGAGCCGAAAGAACCACAGCTGTAATTAAAATAGCTCTTATTAAATCCAAATGTGTCTCTCTGAATGCTACTAGTTTCAGAGTATGAAATTAAAGTAAGAAACCCTAAGAGTCTCTTTAAAAATCTCCTGGCCTAGGATACAGGACTTCTGCCTCAGACTCCAGTTATCTTCTTAACAGATTCGTGCTAATATCTGGTCTTTTGCCCTGCTTGGGGATGCTCATGACAGAGTTCTCCATCATTACAAATCTAGTGAAAAGAGAAAACATGTTTCTCTGATATTATGGGAACAGTATTTGGTTACATGGACTAGAGTTTGTGGTGAGTCCAGTCATTGTGTTTTCTGACAGAAAGGAATCCCACTTCAATTCTGACTGCAACACAGATGCAAACCCGTTTAGCATGGGGTAAGAACATCGTTTTATCAAGGGGTACTGCAGTTGCAGTTATGGCAACATAGGGATGTGAGGTAGACAGGCAATGCTTAAGTTAAATACTTTTTCAGGAGGAAGAGAAAAATAGATTAAGGGAAAGTCAGCGGTTTTAAGTTGAATAGCCTGCAGTGAGCACTGGAGAGAGTTGGTGTTTTTGATTTACATAATAGATTCTTTAACACAGAAAGTAGTCCCTACCTGCTGCATTTCTATTCTTTCTACCATTGCGGTATTCAGTCTTTTCTCATCACTGGGAATGGGGACAGGGACACTTGACAGACATGTCTTCATGGAGGCAAAATCCAGAAACAGCAGCCAGGTAGAACAGAGAAACAAAACTCACTACGATGCATTAAGCACCTTGGCTTATGGAGCGTGGTTTAAGAAGAAGCTAGCTGATCTGCTACAGTGTCTTCAGCATTTCACAGATCATTTGCAGCCCCATTCTGCTGTGTTCTCTAAGGAAAATTTTTGGGCTGTGGTGAGCGAGAAATCAAAACCTTCCAGTTCAGCAACTTGAGCACATTCAGGAAGGGGTCTGAAAGTATCCAAGAGTTCCCAGGAGGGAGAGTTGTGCCGTTTTCATAGCAGAGAGCTTCAGTTAAGTTCAACCCCATCATCTAACTAATTATACGCTGCGATTTATAGGACTGGAAACTTCCACTTCATTGCACTTCAACCTCTTCGAGAGGTCTGGAGAAAGTGGCATCAGACAGGATGGATTTACTATATCTGCAAGAACTAAGGAGACAGGAGAAGTTTAAGTTATCTCCTTAAACCTGTTTAAGGCTTTTCATCAGGAATTCTGTAACTGATTCAAAAACAAAATTAGAGCCAAATGTTTCCTCTAAAGGAAGATATTCATCCTGACTCTAAAAAAAAAAAAGGCAAAACTTGAAATAGCAAGATGCTTCTTGAATTGTATGTTGCAGCATGACTTATCCCTATCCACAGTGCTTTTTGTCAGCATTGACAGAAGAAAAGGACCCTAGATACAAAAACTTTTATACTTTCTGCAGTTCATAATGCTACAGTCAAACTTCGAAGTTACTGTTAAGTAATTGGTCTGAATTACCTCCATATCAGCAAGTGCCATTTGCTTTCCTTCTGTAATCTGAGATGGTTTCAGAGGGTACAGATCTTTCTTTGCTGAGATTTTGTAATAAAGGAACTGGTGTGCAGCACTTTTCAACCCTAGTTCAAGTGCTTTTCCAAAATACAGCGTTATTATCTCAAAGGCGGAGGACACAGGTCATGTGGACGTGCCCCATTTCACAATATACATCACTGACAGAGGCTGGAAGAGCCATCAGAGAGCAATATGCCTTTGTTTTATTTTTAATAAGGTCTGTTTGGGGAAAAAAAGTACTGAAGCTAAAAGCAAACTTCTTAATCATATAGAAGATGATGAATCCCTTGTTCCTTATTCATTCAGACTGTGGAGGTTTTCTGTAGGCAGTGCAAGATTTTTTTCCTCCCTTTATTTCATAAAGTGCGTGATAACAGGATTTTTATAATAGCTTTTGTCTCTGGTATAGCCTTTATCTGTGAGATGGAGGTTTTCCATTAATTCTGGCTGTGGGTGCTAGTTGCCTACTAGTTACAGAAAAGGGGTGGGTGTCTCTTCCAACTCTTCCTCTGGTGTACAATCAAGCACAACCCTGCAGTGTGCATGCCTCAAACTCATTTTCAACACAAGTAGCAGATTCAGGTGAGAAAGGTCATGGTAGACCCGTGTGCAAGCAACAGGCCGGGACTCCAGGGTGAATGTTCTATGGTTTGGAGAGAACGCTGCCAGCCACTCCTCCGCAAATAGAAACCCATCCTTCCAAAGCCGAAACTTGGGATATACTGCCAAAACCTCCCAGCAGTGTCTGAGTAGATGTTACTGTTCTAGTGTCCTAAGGGAGTGGAAGCCCTGTTCTCATCAGTTTGGACACAAAGACAGGACGTAGAAAAATGTCAGTATGGAGTGCTGCTGGCAAAGAAGGATCTGCACTTTAACCGTTTCCAGATAAAAACACTGCAGGACAAAGTGGTGAACAAGAGACTGGCAGTTCATTGTGGACCATAGCTGCTACTACAAGTTTCTGATTGTAAAAGGAGGTTGTTCAAGGTTGCTGAAGATGTTACTTCTTTCTATGTTACCTCCTCTGAGGAATACAAAATAACTGAAGTAAAAACTCAAGGCCACCTTCACTTCTGCAGCCAGCAACTCTGCTCTGGGGCATAAAAAGGCATTCAGTTACTGTCTTCAGATGTGAATACTAAAACTACACACTTTAAGTAGTAGATCAGACAGAGAACTGTTCCAGTGTCATCCTCCATTTCCCTGCCATCACATAGGCAAAATAATGACATAGGCAAAATAATTTATTGACCTCAATGGGACCAGAGTTTTACCTCAAATAGTTAACTACTTTCCATTTCCTTTGACATATGGGAAGTGTTTGTGGGACTTACCACGACTAGCAGGTCTGCCACCTTCATTTTCCAAAACCAAGAAAGGATGTAAAGTCAAGGGTGTGGGGTTTTTTTCTCCTTTTTGAATATAATAAATACAGCAGGCTTCCAGCACATGCATCTCCCTAATCAAATGTGTTAAAGTATAACCTTAAAACGAGAAGGCATATGCCCCTGCTGAATATATATTTATGGAGGCATATGCAACTTTGTGAATACTGGCAAATTACTCTTCTGACAGAGAACATTGGCAGGAGTGCAAAGCTCTATAATGTACTACTCCTGTAATGTAGAAAGAGCTTGAATACATGATGAATTTATTTCCTATTTCTGACCAATTAAAAAGCACATACACAATGTCCTGTGTTCTTCCAGTAGCTATAAATAGCAAATACCCACCAGGTTCACTTGCTTATATGTTCTATTTCTCTGACTATTTGTGCGTTTAAATGACACACAGTACATAGAAGGGAATGTCTCGTTTCTTTAAGCATAGCATTTCTAGCACAGTGCCTTCCCATCCAAACTGGCCACTGACACAGAATCTCAGATTCCCTTCTATCACCTTTACAGAAAACTCTTTCCATAAAGTATGGTTCTCATTTGCATCATATTTTTTATCTCTCTTATTAGCATATAATTCCCCAAAATAACAAAAAAATCCACATCTAGGCTTAGCCAATTCTGAAAATATTAAACTGTTTCAATCTTGTGTGTGCACTCATCTTTAATCGCATGGCCATCTGGATTAACTA